ATAATAATCGTGTCAATTTTGGGTTGCAAACTATACGATAGCCACGATTACAATTAATCTTTCCTTTTTAATTCTGATCTATAATAGTTATACTCTACATTTTCCATTAACTAACAATTTATATCATTTACCTGCATGCTAAGTAACTGACAATAATTATATCAAGCATTTTTCATTAAAATTAATCCCATAGTCATCACAAGCTATACTAGTCCTTTACCTAACAAATAGCGAAAATGTGCTAAATTATTTAGTTTGGATGATGACGTTCAATTTCATCTCGCCAAATTTTTTTTTAATTATTCATCATTATCAAGGTCATCTAAAAACACTAAATATCACCCATATTGTTTGATAGTGGCAAGATTTTATAGGATAAAAAATAATTTTAGATATTGCATTCTGTAAATCGAGATATTATTGACTCGGTTAAAACAGCCTTAAATAAACAACGACATCGGCTGTTATCTTATTGTTATATCGATAGCGGTTTGTGTAATTTTATCCATATCGATCAGGAAAAACATCTGGGCAAGAAAAAACAAACATTTTATAGCGTTGGTTGTAAACAATATTATTAAATAGCAATTTATCGACAGATGGCCAACTGGAATATGTTACTACACTACAACGATAAATATGGATTATGAATGCGAATCTACGTATTTGCATGATTACCGAATGTCCAGCACATGATTGAGGAATGCCACACATCAATTAAATAATAATATTGATACGCCTAAATTATCGGTCAAGAAGGAAACATTTCCAAGTCTCATGGCTGGTATTTATTAAATTGAATTGATGTGGGACTTCAAGTACGAGTGTGTTCAATTGAGTGCGATCTCAACATTGGCTAATAAATAAAATCATCCTTAGTCTAATCTTATATCTAAAATAGGAATATTATGATCAGTAGCAAGCTATACAGTGGCTCACACTATATATTTCGTGACAGCTGCTAGATACAATGGATTTCTTTAACATACGAAGGGATTCTGGTAACATTTATGAATCATGTGATAATAATTTGCACTTGATCTTACAATTATTACAAAAGGTTTTCAGGATATACCATTTCATAGTACCCACTGATCAATTAGTACTGACAAATAAGAAGTTGTAGGAGTCTTGGCAAGTCAGTAAATATTGCACCATTGTTGAAATGTCACATTTGCTGCCCAGACTTGATAATCGTAACTAAGAAAAGAATAAATCTAGTCTGTGTAGATTAGAAGCGTTATATAATCGTTGCAATATGATGCTTTTTATTTTGATTTAACTAATATGGACCAAAGGAAATTGGAGTTTGGTCTATCTAGAATAGTAAATGTCAGTAATTATCGCAACATCATTTTTTCTTATAGAGATTTGATAAGTTTTGATTGATGTCGAATCAAGTTTGCGGAATCAGTAAACTTTATTTAAACTGCTGCAATATGTATTATCTTGCATCTATTGGCTATTGTTGACTAATGCAAAGGACAATCTTGTCTAGCCAAAGTCTCATGATCTGTCAATAGAATATGTTGTAGTCTTTTTTGTTTGTGTTATTACGATTTTTATACAATAAGTTTAGTAATCCTATTTTCAATACAGTGAAGGAGTTTTTATTTTTTAAAGCCATAAAGGTAATCCTAATTTGCGACCCTAAATATCCAAGTATTATATATATATAGAATTACTTATAGATATAATGCATTAGATTCACATACGTTCAACGTATGTTAAGGTATCAAAGTTCGACATAGCCATTTATAAATATCATAGCTAATAATAATTTATTCTTTCTATTATGTTTTAGCAATGCGTTCACTCCGTGAATAAGATTTGTAACTGCATTTATTATTAATGATCGGTATTTATAGCTATATGAGGCTGCACCTCGATACGATTACAATTTGTACTTCGCACTATAATTAGTAAATTATCAGTCCGCCTTTTACAACGTTATCACCTACAGTATTACAAGTACTACCATACAATTATCATATAGCTACATATATAGTGTTTCTAACTAATTGTATAACACTTTCCATAGCAATATTGTTCTTAAATCTCTAATTAATTGTTTATATTTTTTTGCCATACATGCAAATAATAGTACTCTGAGTAATGTAGTAATTTATCATTTGCAATCCTGATTAAATATCACTCGCTATTCTGATACAATAACAATAGTAGCATCAGCAATTTATTACCTAATAAATATGCAATTTTAGTTTAAGATCAGCCCATATTCTAATATAACAAAACAGTAAACGTTAATAATTTAGCATACATATGATATATAGTCTCGGTTAAAGTACTCGCATAACTCCACATCATTCATAATAAACGAAGTAGTTTTATAGTTATACTTTATGTGAGATCTCAAACAAGAAAGCAGTGCGTATTTTTTTAATACTACAGAAGATAGCGCTGTACAAGGTGATCAATAAATTCACTTTTTATAGTATCCATTGAATTAATTGCTATATGTTGAAACAAATGTTAGGATCAGTGTCGAATTACTTCATAATAAGTTGTCTCGATTAAAAGACCTGTCTGCTTTCTTTTATAACATATGCTAAATTTATGAATAAGTTGTTATACTTTGTACTATACACTCTCAACTAGAATACCACTCTATAACTTTATATTTAATAAAAGTAATGTCAGTTGTAAGCTGCCATGCATATTATCTCGAGTAAAGAAAGCTCAGTCACATTATTGTAACATGTACTGGCACTAAAGTTTATTAATGCATAATATATAATTTTCGAATAAAATAACTATACAATTTATATTAATAATAGTAGCGTGATTAATTGATTACTTTATTAAACCGATATACTGTATTATATCGATGAAAGGAATAGTCTAAATTTTTAAAAAATGTATTGATATATCAATGGGAAGAATCTATTTCTTAATGGTACGGGATATACTCTTGACTAATGTACCACTTTATACGGGTATTTTTTCTACAAATCAGTGCTGTTGCGTAAATAACTTTGAAAGATCAGTCCACATTTCCAATTACGTGTTATTAATAGTATTGCATTGATTAATTAATAATAGCGTATAATTGGAATTACTTAAATTAGGTACATGATTATTGATATTTTTAGAGCATAATTTCAAATTCATCTTGCCAAACATAAAATTAATACATCTCTCGCTATCTAAAATAATAGCTGCATACGTAAACTAATTTAGGATAATTAATATTTTAGAAATAAATTACGAAATCACTAATGCTGATATCGGATTGATATCAATTGATTTTGCTATACTATTGTCAAGATTATAATTATGATTCAGTAAGATCAAATTACTATAAGTCTCTTATACTACTACTCAACCATAATAACAACTATCATATTGCTACAGCAAAACCGATTTTTATTTTAGTTGTAAAGGTGTTAAAGATTTATGATAGCGGTGTGCAATAGAAAATGTTCCGGGTATTAATTTGAATCGTATGAAATTTCAGAAATTATCTTTTTATCTTAATGATAAGATCTAGAGTAACTTAATTGTAAAATGTAGGATTTCTTTAGCATGCAATGACTGTAACTGCTTGGCTACGAGATCACCATTATCTATTTTATAAATACTATAAAAAGCAGTAGTCATGATGAATATTCGCTGAACCGTATCATTTTGATATTAACAATAATGATAAAGTGTATGTACGGTATATTCGCTTTTTACTTTATGCCACTAAATAATTACATTTTTAGCTATTTTTGGCAATAGTGCAACAAACAGTGTAACTTGTGTATCAGCTGATTTACGCCATGAGATGAAAGATACATTATTACCCAATTTATAGCATGACTTTAACTTTACTCTAACCTATGATGCTATCTTATCATAGTCTTTTAATAGCTCTTCACGACAAAATGATATAAATTTACAGTTACTTTCATACTTTATAGATGAAATATATACATTAATTACTATCTAATTTATAGCATGATTTTAACTTTGCTCCAACCTATGATGCTATCTTATTATAGTCTTTCAATGCTCACAACAAAATGATATGCATCTACTGTTATTTTTCATGCTCGATAAGTGATAGACCGATATTATGAATTCTATTCGGAATAAATCAGCTTAGCCTAGTAAGTTGATTTTATACGGATATAATGGTAACTTTTAAAATTGATCCTTCTTTGATATCAAATATTAATCGACGCGAAATTGTTGATTAGGTAATGAGATAATATCGTAACATTCATCCGTGCTATACTCGTAATTTGCACATATAATGAACGTATGTGTATAAATCCTGTCTAATTTGTAAAAACAGACATTTATGCTCTTTTTCTTCTAATTAAAATAATGACGAAAATTCATAAAATGATTGATGCTGCTACAGCTTGTTAAAGAACACTAGCAAGATTTCTCGATATCTTTAGATAAACTTTAATAACAATAATATAGAAGTCAACAATATGCAGAATTATGTCCTTATCTACTTATTTAAAATAGAAAGTTTGCTATCGTTGAAACACCACACAATGTTGATCTATTACAAACTCTGATATTTTAGTCAGGCCTTTACTCCCTGTACAAAATTACAATTCAGTATATACCGTGACATATATATAAAAAATCCATTTTTTATGATAGATAAATATTAATAACATTTTCTGTAATAACTAAAGAATATGATAGAAAGATACTAGCAATTAATACAACTTTTCTACTCTCCGAAAACCATTATTCAAAATAAAATTTAAAAAAACGTATACATTTTTACAAGGATTCACTAAGTGTGAATATTATATCAAAAAAATTAAGAATCGATATGATAAATGTAAGGGATAAATAACTAATGTGGATAAAAGAGTGTAATACAGTATGAAAAAAAGGGATTGTTTACAATTTATCCAGTCGATATTGCGCAAAGGATAAAATATAATATCGATGCAATATTAAATCATTATGAAAAGCACACGATAGTAGATATAATTTTCATAATACATAAGATTTTTTTCGAATATTTAAACTGACCATAGTAAACTAAACAAAGCACAAATAATAATACTCATAATACCGGGAGTAGAACGAGTATTATAAGTATATGCTGAATTCGATAAAGTGAAATTAACTACCATTGCAGAGAATTTTGATTGTTGGTATTTTGGAACAATTATCGATCTCTTTACTGTTGGATAGCCATCAGCTGAGATTGTGAAATTATATCTTCCTGGTAATAATATTCGCCAGTAATCACCAGAGCGATCGGTTCGCACTACATGTTCTCTATGATCGGTTTGGATAACTGCATTAGCGATGCCTTTACCATTTGCATCTGTAACAAATCCTTTGATTCCAAGATGAATTGCTTGAATATACGCAATTAATGCAGGACGATTTTCTTGCCATAATTCAGGTAATTGTTTGCTATTAGGATATTTGCAACAACCTAATTCTAAGGTGATTTCCATCCCATTAGAATTCAGGTAGACGTAATCTTGCATACCACCAAATATTGGATAATACTTTGCTCCATTAACAATACCGTTGGGAAATTGTTCACTGGGATTATCAGAGCAATTAGGTTGGCCATAATGCATAAGAAGATGATTATTAGCGTAAACTTTAGATAACTGGATAAAAACATCATCATCTGGTGATCGACTATAAATATTTTGGTGAATAAGATGAGGTTTGACACTATCGTAGGGATAATTTGCGACTAATGTGCCACCATGTAGATTGGCCGATAAGACGAAGGGAATCTTTTTGATCCAATCCATTATAGCAGAGACTTCAGGCTGAACAGATTCCTTCCTTTCTAAGTATGGATCGTCAAAATTACGATTAAGATCTTTATAATTGGCATTATAGCGACCCTGAGTACCTGTACAATGGCCTTGGACGGCTATTTCGAAACCATCAGGATTCATCGATGGCATAATGTGGATACGAGTTGTATTCAGCAATTGAGTTATATCATCGATAATATTGTAATGATTTAACAAATATTTCGCTAAATGTAATAACATTTCACGACCAACAGCTTCATTGCCGTGCATATTCGCTACGTATTTAAATTCAGGCCTGCCAGGTACATGTTGATTTGGATTTATACCGATTGCTAAAACTAAAAGTCGACGGCCTTGAACAGATCGACCAATATCGTAAAGGTGCGATATCGATGGATGTTGATGTTGTAAACTTTGTAAAAATGTCAACATTTCCTGGTAATGATGATAATCAAATTCAGGTGATTGTATGCCTTGGGCTTGATTGAAAGTATAGGTAGACCACCACATTAATATTACCAAGAGAAGCCACGGTTTAGGAGTTGTTGCCCATCCCATGGTCGATTCTAGTTTTGGAAAAAAAATTCAGTCACTCACATTGCTTAATATCATATAATAGGTAAATATTACGGGCCAATACGTGTATTGGCCGAATATCGGGTTTTGGTCGTAACATATACTGTATATACGTATATAGTTCATGTAAAGTTAATATCGTGTAGCATGTAATTATAATTATCTATGACAGGCTAATATAGTTAATGTAGCAGGTACTTGAAGTAAAGTTGTATGTAAGAATGATCCGTTAAGTAAGAAGTGATCCAGTAAGGAAGTGTCTATCTGTTAGTTTAGCACCTCTTCAATTTAGATTTATTGGAGAATACATTAAATAGGGCAGGGCAAAACTTTGAGCGTCTATTAGTGAGTCGAAGTAAAGTTGTATGTAAGGATGATCCGTTAAGTGAGAAGTGATCCAGTAAGGAAGTGTCTATCTATTACTTTAGCACCTCTTCAATAAATTTATTGGAGAATACATTAAGAAGGGCAGGGCAAAACTTTGAGTGTCTATTAGTGGGCCGAAGTAAAGCTGTGTGTAAGGATGATCCGTTAAGTAAGAAGTAATCCAGTAAGGAATTGTCTATCTGTTAGTTTAGCACCTCTTCAATAAAATAAAATTTATTGGAGAATACATTAAGAAGGGCAGGGCAAACTTTGAGCGTCTATTAGTGGTCCATTGATTCCTATTTTCTTTATAATCACAATTATACAACAGTTCTATACCGATATTTACTTATAACCTTGTAGCTCCATGCCGTCTGTGCGGTGAAATTGTAGTTAATCACACATACAATTCTCTATAATCTGACCGGTACAGTAGGAAAAAAATGCGACTAAGTCAATATTGATGCTATTGATATTAAAGCCCCAAACCAGTGGATGGAGTCATGTACTAAATATGCATAAAGCTTTTGTGAAGATCCCACATTATGTACGAAACTGTCAAGTAGAATGCATAATTCATGTCACGTTTCTTTCTTTCAATCGTGGATGTAACTATGATACGAGATGAACGAATAATGACAAGGATATTGAAATACAGTAGGTTAAGATTGGACATTGGTATGAATATTGGATGAAATCAATAACGTAGTCAATTTGAGAATTATGTTGGAATCAAATAACTTAGTAAGTTAATAACGTATTACAATATCGATTCTTGTAGGGCCTTGATGACGCTGTGCTTTATTGACAACATCAGGATTTTTGTGTACTTAAGATTGTCTAACTACTGTGACTAATGGATCTATTTAGTAAGTACGACAATGACGAGGTATTTCTGTCAAGACTAATATACGAGTTGAGTGTTTGACGAAAAAACTGTTAAATCTCTAGCTCGTCGAGAAATAGGAAAGCAACAAAATTGAATGGGATCCTCTATCGTAGCTGAGCGCCTTTTTTGTCGAAATGAAACAAGAAAGAAATTGTTTCAATCGCATCACTGTAGACAATGTTTACAGAGGGCGACGACAAAGTAACATTTACATTCTTCATTTACGCCATGGTATCGAGCCACAGTATGGATTGTTTGGCCGTCGTCTTGTTGCTTTTAATTAACATAACTAATTTATATCAATGCTATGAATAAAATAGAATAGGGCAAATAATGGTAGAAAAATTGCAAGTAATTTACTTCATTGGCACGATAATATTGCATGATGAAGGATAATTAATGTATGTAATTGGAATACGTACATCCATTTGACAGTTATTTAAGAGTAGTTGAAGACTTTTAGCGTAATTAAAGTAAGTTTTGGTCATCGATATAAGGAGTGGCGGCCACATTGTCATCATGGACTAGACTACAATCAAATGTCGTTTGGATGTAATGCAAGTAAGGATGCAAAGAAGGATCAATTACGATTATACCTATTTCTCCTTAGAAAGATGACAGTGCTAGTAGAGTGTGTCCGTTCAAGGCATTTGTTTAAACTGATCCAAGTTGAATGATGGGGGGGGGGGGAAATCAGTTTTTATCGTTCTCGTCCTAGATAAGTAACTGGTCATCTCGACAAGGGATGGATACTGAACGTCTGTTTAGCTAGTGCGGCATTTTAAAATTTCAGTCTACTTATCTCACCTGTTATTTGGCAATCAGCACGTTGGATGATAGTGAAATTGAGATGGTGTCGTTGTACTGTACCTTAAGGTTGAAGACGATAATCAAGTATTATTAATTAATTGAAGATGCCGCTTTGATGAGTAATGAGTCACTAATGACGTCTATCATGTATAGAATGAATGCAATCCCGTAGTCAACCAACTAATTGATCGTGATATCTTGACACATTGATCAGGTTCCAACTATTTGAATTGAATTTCAATTCACGATATGCCACTATATTGAATTTATTTGTACAGTCTATATAGGGATTGAAAATGAATTGTCGTTCAGCACGACTGCACACGTTGATGGGATGGAAATTGAATTTGAACAGCGTCGGATTGGAATCCAGTCGATCAAAGTCGATACGAATATGACAGTTTTTCTTTGTCCTACGGAGTGCAGTAATGATGGGAAGAATTGGAATTTTCCTTGACTGCGTACCATGCAGGAATGAAAATATTGTACAGCAAATAGTGGGTTGTTCACTGTTGTCACACTAATCAACTATTGCACCAGTGTGATCGATGTTGATCACCTTCTGTAGACACGTTTTCTACCAGTGTCCTTGTCGACGAGAACGAATGGCGAAGTATTAACTACAATTCTTCATGCATAAAATGCATAGAAATTACTTCCGAATTCATTCAATAATACCAACTTGATGACAAGTAGTTTGACTTGATCGATGAACGATATGTTATCACGCTTTTCTCCTGATGTTCAAGCGACGAAGGCGATGATCGATGTTGCTTATCAATAAGAGAGAATTGGAAGATTGAGAAGAGAGACTTGACTACAATTCTTCATGCATTTCATGCACTGAAATTAATTCTGAATTCATTCAATAATACCAACTCGATGACAAGTAGTTTGACTTGATCGATGAACGATATGTTATCACGCTTTTCTCCTGATGTTCAAGCGGCCAAGGCGATGATCGATGTTGCCTATTAATAAGAGAGAATTGGAAGGTTGAGAAGAGAGACTTGACTACAATTCTTCATGCATTTCATGCATTGAAATTAGTTCTAAATTCATTCAATAATATCAACTCGATGACAAGTAGTTTTACTTGATCGATGAACGATATGTTATCACGCTTTTCTCCTGATGTTCAAGCGACGAAGGCGATGATCGATGTTGCCTATCAATAAGAGGATTGGAATGTTGAGAAGAGAGACTTAAAATGGATTGGATCGTCCCTATTGCTATACAAGGCCATCAAAATTACATTAGCAAGACAAAATGATTTCTCGTCGGCATTTGATTGTAGTCCAGGTTAGACGATGTCTGGCCATTCAATGACCTTGTGTACAATAGCAATCATCCTAGCAAGCCAAATACGGAGTCCATCCATCTGCCTCGTCCGAGTGACGACAATTTGACAAGCTTCAGTATGAAGCACGACAGACTAAAACTGATCCATCCGTCCGCTCGGTCTGACAGTTTTACAAGTTACAGTATCGCGGACACGCTAAAACTGAAATCAATCCTATCAAGGCAAATGAGTCCATCCGTCTGCTTCGTCTGTCCGCAGGCAGGAGCCGAACGACAATTTTACAAGCTACAGTATCACGCACGACTGGCTAAAACTGATCCGATTATCCGTCCGTCGTCTCTGTCCGCAAGCAGGAGTCGGACGACAATTTTACAAGCTATAGTATCACGCAAATCAGGAGAGAAAGCAGCTCTTTCTCCTCTTCCTACAAGTCCTCCCCCCTGACTGTCAATACTAGTCAACGTACGCCATGAGAGTCAGAAAGCCTGCTAACGCCACTGTGTAAAACTTAATCCATCGTAAACAGGCGTCAATGAGCGTGTAACATTGCACAAGTAGCTCAATGCACGCACTCTAGCACTTGCACCGGGAAATAGGAAAAGAAAAAAATAGATACTGTATTGAGCTCTGCTTGTCAGTTACCTGGCCATAACAACATCTTACAGTACTGTACTGTCTATTGCTATTTGCAAGCCTGTGATATCTTGTTTGTCTTTTTTTCTCATTTATTTAATGGCGTGCAACATAGCACAAGTAGCTCAATGCACGCACTCTAGCACTTGCACCGGGAAATCGGAAAAGAAAAAAATAGATACTGTATTGAGCTCTGCTTGTCAGTTACCTGGCCATAACAACATCTTACAGTACTGTACTGTCTATTGCAATTTGCAAGCCTGTGATATCTTGTTTGTCTTTTTTTCTCATTTATTTAATGGCGTGCAACATAGCACAAGTAGCTCAATGCACGTACTCTAGCACTTGCACCGGGAAATCGGAAAAGAAAAAAATAGATACTGTATTGAGCTCTGCATGCCAGTTACCTGGCCATAACAATATCTTACAGCACTGTTCTGTCTATTGCAAGCCTGTGATATCTTGTTTGTCTTTTTCCACGTTTATTGAATTAATTAATTAATTCATTATTTAATATTGACCAAAATGGCTGCAAGGTACAGTCCACAGCTTGCAGAAAATACAGTACAGTACAGTATTTTCAATCCATCGGAAGATGTACTGTACACTGTAGACACTACACTCAGTAGCCATGGAGAGTCTGAGACCTTGCCCTCCCCTCCCTCCCCCCATCTTATTTCATCAAGCTCATCGCCATTGGGCCAGTTGGAAATCGTCTCTGATGGCCAATATCATCGTGTAATCGATCCATTTGTGGATTAGGCTAACAGTCAATATGGTCAGTTATCTTGAGTAACAGTGATAGGACCGAGCGGATTATTACTGTACTGTATATCAGTATACTGCATTGTCGGCATGTCCCATTCTATTGCAAGAGACGATAAGAATCCAAACGTCAAGGCTAATATCGTCAGCCTTGAAGATATCCTAAATCAGTTTCCTCAACCCTGGCATCAGTTGCTTTCGTATTCAGCCGAGAAGAATTCTCCATACAGTAATGAAATCGAAAAATGGCTAAATGAATATCACGATAAAACAGGCTTGGACTGGAATGCTCTAGTGAAAGCACTCATGCAACATCCTGCATGTCCTCAATCGCACAGGTAAAACCAATGATTCCACTGTACAACAATATTTTAAAATTCACGATACTAGAGGAGAAATGCAGAGCAATTTATACGGTATAACGATAGCTTTTAGTTCTATACACAAATAGTTCAGTAAGGTTTTTACAAATGAAATGCATTGATGGAGTGACTTTTGCAGGAATAATATACGTAGAATTGGAAATTACTGTACGTACGAGTATTGGCTTATACGAGTATGCATACCCGTCTAATGAATTGATTCATTCTATTATTCATTCATTTATTCATATACATTTAGCCTGCCGGTCCTACTTTGGCTGCCATTACATGTCCAACGTAGCCTTTTATATTATATCCATCGTCATTATTACGCTGTTCATTCAGAGTATTTAATTCATTTGGTCGATTCTTTAAACAAGCATCATCTAACGGATAGCTGGAGTAACATGTTCGTGCGGATGCTAAAATGTGATATTGACAAAAGAACTCTTTCCTCGAGCAATAATTATTTAACAATGTCAATGTTGGAAATGGAAAAGAACTGTTTATCCAGTCACTTTAAAAATGACTCAGCTCAAATTTGTAATACTTTAAAGACCGTTGGTCCTCAAATACAGTTGCTTAATTCTACTACTGATGATATTCGGACTGTAGATGGTGCTAGCCGTGACAACATGGATCACAGCGATTCTGTTCAATTCAATGCAAGCGATCAAACTAGTAGAAGTACTCCAGACCGTTTTAATAATAGTGATTATCATGATCGAGAGGTTGCAGTGATTGCTTACAATCAACCTCTACAAACCGATGCTAAATTTCAAGCTGAATTATCAGGGAACCCATTCCCAAATACTACGTCACATAAAAGAAAAGCTCCGACGATGGATAGTGATGTAGACAGTCAAGATAATGATAGCAAAAGAAGTAATCAAGAGACTATGATTGCCATAAACAAGGCAGAAGACGACAGTGTCGCTAGGTCAAACATCGGTGATGTGTGCGAAAAACTAAAAGAATTATTAATGTATGAAAACGAAATTTTGATCCAGAAAATGGATGAACCTGACTATCAGGACAGCTTCATCTCATTTCTTACCAGCTCATTTGATGAAATGCAAATAATATGCCAACAAATTCAATTGAATCAGGTTAGCTTAGAAAAATTGGCTACCATTTCCCGTCTATACTGCTATCATCATCTCAACGCAAACTTAGACAACTGTCGTATTTTTTGTCAACTATCCATCTATCCACACTTGTCAGTACTAAATAGTTCAGCTCCTCGCGAACTTTTCTATTGCATTGAATGCTTTTTAAAACGATATTCAGAACCTTTTATAGACGGTTGTTGTCTGCAATTATGGAATAATGAACTTCAGCCTGCACAAGTAGAATTAATCAAAACATTAATAGAAACATCATTCAGTCAAGATAATTGCTTCTATTTCTTAACTCAAATTATCCAAAAACACCATAACAACACCAATAAATCAAAATGGGATGAAAATCATTATATCGTTATCCAAGGTATTATTCAAAAGCGCCTTAAACTCGACTCGAAAACAATATTAGAATTATTATCAATACTATATCAAAATGCTTTAGATATGGCATCATCAACTAATTTTATTACCCTTATAATCAATATTATTAATAATTATAAAGAACAGATAATACCCTATACTGACTTACTCTATCAGATTCTACAAAATAACAAAACACTTTTGAAGAGGTCTACCCTTGCCAAATTAAAACGGTTGCGATCCAGTTAGGATTGTTACTAGATTAAAATATCAATTAATTTTTGTAAATTGTGCATTAGTTGTCACATTAGCGATTTTCTCCTTCGCTGCATCCTGTAGTAAATGTACTGTGTATAGTACAGACTATTAGAACCACAGTGATGATTGACTTAACGTCTGATACGCGTACATCCGGAAGATTCTTGTAAATAAAAGAGTACAGTATGCTGTATCACGTATTCAGGCTGACTGATTGATTGCTGTTATAATCTATTTGTTTACTTCTGTAGATAGATGTACTGCAATTCCATGTTAATTATTATTTAATTATTAATCATCTATTGGGCTTTTCCAGCCATTCTCATTTTTCTTCTTTCTCACAAGTAAACAGTATATAATATCAGTAAATTCGTTGCTATTCGTACGACTGTACGTTATCCTAGCGCTATTTGATACTAATTATACTGTAACTTATTGTATATAACTCATTAACTCTTTTTATCCATTCTTGTAATGGTAGGTATAATACGTCATTCAACCACATTCAATTTATAAATAAATTGATCAATTTTAATGAATATGACGTGTATTACTTAGATTAAATACTACAAAATTGGATAGTTAAGCTATTTGATATCGATTTCGATTTACTGTACATGGTCAATCAGGCTTTTCAATAAATTAAGAAAATTGGATCGCAGTTTAAAGGCTCATTTTATTGAGAGCAATAAATCCTCAAGAATGTTTCTAGTACGACTCATACTCAGTTGTGGTAGCGCTTAAGCGTATTAAAGACTTTTTAGTGATTACCTATAATTACCCTTAAACTTAAAATTACTAGTCGTAAATTCATTAGTTATAATTGATAGGAAGTTTTATTGATATTCCAGCATACTGACATCATTACTACTTCCAAATTGTTTAAGGTTCAGGAATAGATAATAATCATGAAATAATTATTTGTAAAACGTATTGCTATATTCTATTCATCGGATTAACTAGTCATAATTTATCGCATAATATGCTGTTATTTTTCTAATTTGACCCTGATCCATCTTACTGCTGTGAAGTTATGACCGGATATACTACGCGTTGACATTCAGTAGGTGGGTCAAATATGGTTGGATCTTTGATGCCAACGGTAACATTTGCGAAAATTCGAATATCGAATGCTCCTGGTTGAGTAACTGCTGCCATGCTGTCAACGAAACTTTTCATCACAGTGATATTAGTTATAGGTATGCAATCCTTATGTGTAACGATTTCTTCAATAACAGCATAATTTTTGTCATAAACAGATTCATAGTAGTCCATAAGCTGATCACCAATCGACATCGATCCAATAAATCGGGCATTTTCTATTTTTTACAATAAGAATATTTTTATTAGCTTACTTTAAAATACAATCTTACGCAATATAGTAACTTTTATACCAAAAAAATTGTTAAAATTTGGATAAGTAATTAAAAGAAAGCAACTATAATGAGTACAAATTTTGTAATAAAATGAAAAAAATTTTAAAGAAATGGATTTGAGTTGTCTCTTCCCTTATTATTTGAACTATTTCAATTTTAAATTTTGTATTCCTTTTATATATCTCATTTTACTATGCAACTTCAATTTTTAAAGTTGATATTTATTAGCAATTAATGGATCACATTACAGTATAGTATTAGAACATCTTATTTATGACATACAGATATTTCTAGCAAGCACACCTATATATTACTTAAATTAATTTATTAAAAATTTCTCTGCATTAAAAGGTTTAGGATAATCCTGATTTTTTAAAAACTTAGCTAAATTTTTTTTATATAATTTTTTGGGCTATTGATACACAATTTAAATAGAATTAAATAACAGTCTAGCTTTTTATTTGCTTAAAATTATCACAATTTTCACTTTACCAAGCCGTATAACAATTAATAACTGTGTCATAAAAAACGTTACAATATATATACGTATAGATACACAAAATAATTTTGCCTTACTTGGTAGACAACGTCGACGAAGGGGCCAACTAATTTCAAAAAATGTACATTTTCCTTTGAGGATATTATACCTTAATCCCTAATATTTTTAGGACAAAAATAAGTATACAAATGTTAGGGTAATGAATGATTACATAAACATCTCATTTTAAAGCATTAAAATTAAGCAAATATAACATAAGCTTTACTTTTTGGTATAAGGTTATTTGAGTCACTAATCTTCCGTTGAAATAGAATTGTTCCAATGTCTTTTCATTTTCAAAATCGTAATGAAATCGTAATGCATCAATTCCTACTTGTGGGTAAGGATCGTTATTTGAGATATCAACCATTTTTTGATAACGAAAACCTTCAAATTTATCCGGTGGACAACAAGCTGAAACATTTTGAGCTATAAAAGTCAAACAGAAAATGGCAACGACTACGTAGCATAAGACGGGCTTCATGCTTATTCTAAAAAGGTAACGATTTATTTTTAGGCTCCTTTTATAGATATACTGTTGAAGTGATTTCACCGTAAGGTATTTACGAAATGAACGTTAATTTAGAAAGGTCAGGTATTTATACTTGATAGATGAATGATGTTGTCTGTTAGAATCAACATAACCTCACGTATTAACTACGGCAAGTCTTAGAAACAATAACTGTCAATATAGATTGACTGATAATTTTTAAAAATTTTTTACACGTCATTGAGATATTTTACGTAGTTTATGAGGTGAATGCAAATTCAATGTATTTTAATTATACAACAGTCAATCTTTTGATAATTTACAAATAGCAAGTAGTTTATTGTTGATTAAATTAGAATTATAAGGTATGAGTCAGCTTCGACCTTTTAAAAGAACCCTCTTATGTCTAGAACAATAATTAATTTTTCTTGCATACTTAAATTAAATTGATTTAATTTATTTACTCTAGTTACGAAATGATAGATAGAATTAGACAAAGAGAATCATACTAATAGCAAATAGAATTATTCGAGTACTTGCATATAAAACAACAACATAAATTGTAACGATAGCATAAACATGAATATGCGTACAGTACGAATTAAAAGTCAAGCAGTTCTGGCAAAGTAATCAAAAATATATCAAGTAAGAGGTTGAATTTTAGGATTGACTTTTAGTAGTTGCTACTGTATATTATGATTACATTTTGAATTATATTTGTTAAGTTCAGCTTAAAGGATGCGAAATGTTTGTAGTTAATACTCAAGACTGAATCATCTAATTAAGCGATTTATCACGTCCGGTTTCTAATTACTATCATTGCTGGCTCTAATTAAGATTGAAATGAAATATATAATCTTATTGATTGGTGCTAATTTGTAAATGATTAGGGATGAGGTATCATTGTTAATCCAGTCTAGATTCAAATTCAGAATTACTAATCAACTCAAATAGCTACACATCTGAAGAGTTCCGGTGCTTATTTTAGAACAGACTGTTGTTGTCATCTGCTTATTTCATCAAGTAGACGATCATGTTTAAGAATAAAAGCAAAGCGACGAATCTATTCCCTTAATAGCATCCCGTATAAAACAGCTGGAATTAAACAAATGTTGAGTAAATTGCTTCAAATTGGCTGCTATATTCAATGATGACAAATAAAGCTATTAATAACCATGGCAGTCAATTTATTTGATTTTCTAAGCTTCAAGCACAATCTACCCAGTATTAAATGTCTGATAATGCATTCCATTGCTTAACATTTATGTAGCTATTCTAGTATCACTAAGATACACGACCACTTAGAAATAGCTGCAGGCCTCCTTAATATGTTGTTATAGCCTTTATTTTACCTTGCTAATAGTTGTCACCATGTGCAAAGGTGATCACCACGCATTATTACCTTAATAGTTTTGTTATTAGTCAGTTACCATTTAAAGTAAATTCGATATTAAGGGGTCATTCCTAAAAGAAGACAAATATTCAAGAATGAACTAAACTGTTGATCCATAAATAGTTGTAATGTGTATTGTGATTGTCCAACTGCATACACAGATATTAGTAACAGCGGTATGCTAAAGATAGATTCATTCTTTACACCTGAAATTCTACCAAGTAATACGAATTATCAATGATTTTATTTCCTATAGTAGAGGATTACGATCTGATTGTTATGCCTTATGGTAGTATTTCGTAAGAGAAATGCCGTTACCTTAAGTATTTTCTCTGCAAATTATTAGTTGCGGTTTTGGTAATAGCTAAGCAAACCTGTCTTGTGTGTAGGTATAAAGCAATCGTACCACATATGATTGTGCTCAACTATCGCACCCTGTATATCGGTTATTCATAGCATCAAATGGCTATTACTACGATGTATTCCCTCTAAAATGCTTACGAATTCGAGCGTATTTGTGCAATTGCGATATTCATGTTGTAAAGAATGCTAAAACATTGTTCATTTAGCTTAGTGTTCGATTGTATAGCGGATTTTTTCCTGCATTAATAGTCTAGTAAGAAAAAAGGAGCAACTTTCTTCTCACGTTTTATTCGTAGCTCAAATAGTAATGCAATAAATAACGGACAAAAATTGTCCAACCTAGCAGAAATAATGCCTAGTTGCAAATTATCAAGAGTATTATGTGCTATGCCATCGTCTTTGCTTATTATAGATTAACTCAATAGTGGCAATTTAAGTTTTCAGAATTAATTATTAGGTTATTCTTGCTAGAGATTATATCGTGATATACTATTATAAAATCGTTAATAAACCTCAACTTAAAAAATCGGTAGCCTAGATAATGCTTTTAATAAACATACAGTAATGACCGTTTACGAAACTCAGTTATCGCGCATATGGTACTTGATGTTTTGATCAATATTTTGACAAGCAATTAGGGTGAGTAAAAATTCATTAGGATGATCAATTTTAAAGTAGACACTATACTGCTTTTAATTAATCGGATTTTGATGTAGTTTTAGCGTAATTTTAAATCACTAGTTTTATCCTTTCAATAATGAATTAGTCTTGCAATTTTTAAACTAGACATCTGCACTAATTCTAACAAATCGTATTAGATGAGATTTTAGCCCAATGTTGCAATTATCTATCATTCACCAGGTCGTAAATAGATTAGTTCCTCACTTTAAATAATTAATTAATTTCACTTGGACATTTAAAGTAGACATCTTTACTAATTCTGATAAAGCTGGCTCGATAAGATTTTAGCTTCGGTTTCAATCATCATTGAAAAACATAGAAAAACGAATTTAGCTATTTAATGTCAAGCATAGATTAGGCATCAATACTTTAAAATAGACATCTACACTAATTCTGATTAATCAGATTCGATGAAATCTAAGTTTTCAATTATCAATCGAAAAGACGCAAATAGAATACACTGCTTTAAAAGCTGGTGTCGCGAAATGGGATTTTCATTCGTAATTCTAACGTAGTGCTATACTGTGATATATGATCTAGATTAGCGTTGGACATTTTAGAGTAATACCTATAGTAATTCTAGTTATTCAAATTAGATGAGATTTTCGCCTAATTTTCAATCGTTGAAAAACTGGTAATTATAATTGCGTCAGTTTCACATTTTTAATTTCAAAACTGCGTATAACATGTACGGTATATCTTCAAGACCGTACTTAATATAAAGGTTAGCATCTGTTTGTTCACTTTTTTGTTTCGTTATTAATCAACTGATAATGCAATAAGGTTAAGTTAAGAAATTAAAATAATTCTTAGAATGTAAATTTTTATTATAATACAGGGCATCTATAATCGACAGACTGCGTACTAGCCTATCTTTGTGATACTTGATCCTAATTGCATTATAATCTACAACATTATCTTCCATAAAATCAAGGATGAATAATTGGCTGACAGCTTTTTTTTACAGTCGAATTATGATAACTACATCAAGAATGCTTTTATTATTACAGTTCGGTAATTAGTCTTGCAAATCACCCAAGCGAGCTTTTGCGGACGTAAGCTAAATAGTATTTTTGTTGCCTACTTTAGATCAAAGTTATGAATTCAACATGAAAATTGATTTACTTTGTTACAATTTCTCATATGTTTCAGTAAAGGGAAGGAATGTATCCAGTTATTGAATAAAGTATTAATCGATAATAGCATATTTAAAGCGACAATATTTGGTAAATGTAATTCGATTTCTGATATCAATTATATATATTATCAATACAGCTAGTTTCGATTCTGCAACTACTATCACTCTTTGTAAGTTTGATATGACCTTATTAATATAAATTGCTTTATAGTAGAAATTGCAATTCACGAATTTCCGTTTTCAGTAACCGTAAATCTCTATCAATTTAATAATGATAAAGTTAAGGTTTTAATTAGCGTCAAATTAATAACAGAATAATTTGAAATCTTATAAACTATTCCAATTTACCAGCTATGTAGACAAAACTTATTATAATAAGTAGTTATATAATACTTGGATAGCTAAATTTCTTTTCATGGTCAGGAAGTCATATTATTTGATATTAGAATAAGAATGTCTGCATGTTAGACCCACTTTTCATGAATATTTTACGCCTGTAGGAAAGAATAAACGCAATGTAAAAGGGTTTTAAATTTCCTATTCTACGCCATTATCCATAGCATATAAAATCATCTTCTAATTACCGTTGTTTTAGATTAATTAATTCACAACTACGGTATCTAATAGAAGCGCAAAAGCTAGTAACTTATGTAAAATAAAATATTTAATAACAATACTGCAGGAAATAAATCGATAAAATCTTCTACTCCAGTCTTCCTGGAAGAAAAGTTGTGTAAAATAAAAGTGCTCAGATTTAGATCAAAAGATGTACAAACTAAATTGCTAGGAAATATTTAATCACTCAGCACATATGTCTAAACAAAGATTAAATAAAGTTGGCTTATATTTCCGTATATTTTAGAAATCGATATCCTTCTCACAGAAAAGTAACCTTCTGCTGTGATTTTAATTCGTTCAATTTGTAGTATTGTATAAATGACATGTATTACTTTATGTCTTATTATCCTTGCAATTAATTTGCAATGCGGGGTATAGTTCTCTGAAGTTCTAAGATCATATTTCTTTATTACACGGAATGAATGAGTAATGCTCATAAATCTTGAATTTATGTCTGAAATTAACTAAAGCTAATTTATACTGTGTTTAAACAAAATAAAGGTTTAAATAAGGATTAAATTAGTGTCTATAATTAATCTTTAATTACATTTTTGTTACTAAAGTAAGACTGTAACCTAGTATAATTGTAGTATAGTTCCTTTATGATAACAGTTACTGCGGAATTTACCCATCCATTGTTAAATAAAAGGTATATTCTAATTCATGACCTTCTTGTTTAGATATATTGAGTCCTTATTGATATCAAATAAAATTAGTCGAGATATTAAAAAGACAAAAGTTCATCTAGTTAGCGTTGTGTTCCATTGATCGTACGCTTCGTTTTACGTTATACAAAATCATACCTTAGTTGATGCCTTGTCTGCTTTTTAAACCATGTAATCAATTCTCAGCAGCCAAAGTGGCTTAAAAAAGTTCTTGAGTTAAGCCAGAATTTTCAAATATTGTTTAGCTAATTATCATAAAAATTACGAGAAATGCATTTACTTCCTGCTGCATTCAATATGTCTGAGAAGCAGTGTCTCACGGCACTATACAAAGAGCACTGACTTGATGAGAGGCGTATGGCAGCATCTTGTTACATATCAGTAAAAGTATTATGCTTTGATTGAAATATTGTTCATTTTATTAAAGCATGATTATAAGATACAACTATTGATTTTATTTGCTTCAGCATTCCATTATTATTCCAGTAGCATGTCATTATAAATTATTTGGAAAATGTAGTAGTAGAATTAGAAGTCTTATAGTCAATTTTGGTCCGTAGGCTTGATTAAGATGTTAATCCCCAAATAGTAAAGTATGAAATCTCTTTATTAATTGTAGCATTCCGTACTAGCAAACAGCAGCATGTCATTACGCGTCATGCAGAATTAAGAAAATGCCGTGATCGCTGTAATATATGTACCTGGTATCTACAATGTATATGATCATAAGAATTGAATTTACTTGTCGAAAAACTCCATATTTCAATACAGTAAAATTTAAGTATACTATACAGGATAAAAAGACAGCTGGACTAAAGTGGAATCCTTTCAAATCATTTACTATAAAATTCTACGAGCATAATTGTCTCACCCCCATAATGTACATAATAACGAACTAGATGAAATCTAGACAATTATAATTGACCTGATATTCATTTGTACATATGTAAAGCTGTGCAAAGAAACATCGATTACCTCTCTTGCAGTTCTCGAAGAAAAAAATCGATCTGCAGTAGTATTTCGTACTATCATGCTACAGTAACTCGTCGTCTATTGTATGGTGTAATTTAGGTTTGATTAAATATTATTCACAGTACGTATTAGGTGAGTAATGGCTAAATTGAAGCGATATCTATGAGATAAATTAGGTAGGTAATACCTCAATTAAAACGATGTCTACTTTTTGAACGTGATTAAAAGTCATTTGGTGATCTCTTGAGTCATATGAAAAATTAATCTATAGAGGTATATCACGATCATTGGAACCTGGATGATTAAGAATGAATATAAAATAGTCGATATATTGTTAATAACTAATTTCTACTTGAATGTGAAATCATAATAGAAAAGAATTACTGTAGCTGCTTATTAACCCTAATAATTTAATTAATTATTTTAATCTTTAATTATACTTACTAATACGAATTGAGCACGCGTGTCGTATAAATGAGTTCACGTTTCCCTCATTTGTACCTGCCCCCATTTAGTCAATGTTCTTCCCATTTTCTAGACTGCAGTTATTACGATCAGCTCTCTGTAAATCATTTATGATAAAAAAACAAAATATTAGTCTTATTACACAGGCTTTGAGAGTCTGCCATCAATCTATTTGCTAATTTTGTCGTATACCTGGATAGACGTAATTATCTAAGAGTGTACCGTCATCTCTACGTGGTTTATATCCCTTATTAATTTCGAATTACTGGTACATTGATATGCTATATGTATAGTAATTCAACTATCAATGTCTAGACTAACGCATCTATAATAATACGACATATTACTGCAAGGCTTTGCATGGATACTAGCATATTATTATAGATAGATTTTTTGCTTACTGGCACTATCGATTTAATTATCTAAGAATATACCGCATCTCTACGTAGCTTTTATGTATTAATGTACGGTATATGGATAGTAATTCAACAATCCATACCCAGATTAATGCATCTGTAATAAATAATTAATATATAGTGTAAAAGCTTCGTCTGCAGACTAGTAAATTATTATATACGAAATATTAGCATGTTAGCGTGTTCAAGCAACAAATATAATACATTTTTAAATGTATCAATAGATATAATCATCTATAATGGGTTCCATCTCTGCGAAGTTCCATCTGTTAACTCCAGATCACGATACATTTATATGTTACATGGAATTATAGATAGTAATTCAATTATCGATACCTAGACTAATGCATCTGTAATGACATATTATCGATAGAATAAAAGCTTCGCCTGCAGACTAGTAAATTATTATAAACGAATTATTAACTTGTTCAAGCAACAGACGTAATACATTTTTATTAAATGTATCAATAGATGTAACCATCTAAAAACGTATTCCATGTCTGCGTAGCTTCCATCTGTTAGCTTCGGATTACGGTACTTTTGTATGCTATACGGATAGTGATTCAACAATCGATTCACAGACTAATACATCTTTAATAATATATTACCGGTAGTATGAAGCTTTGCATGCAGACTAATAAATTATAATAAATGAATTATTAGTGTGCTTAAGTAATAGACGTAATCACCTAAAGATATATTCCATTTCTGCGTAATTTTCATCTGTTAACTTCGGATTACGATACATTCGCATACTATATGGATAGTAATTCAACAATCGATGCCAGACTAATGCATCTGTAATAACTTATTAGTATAAATGCTTTGCTTGTAGACTACGAATATTATTATAAATGAACTATTAGTATGTTCAACTAATAGACGCAATCATCTAAAATTTATTCCATCTCTGTATAGTTTTTATGTATTAAATTAGGATTACGATACTTTTCTATGCTATACCAGTATATTGTTATAGGTGTATTATCAGGTTACTTTAGCAATAGATGTTCTTTTGGTAAGAATTTCTTTGTTTGAGGTTGATGAAATTAGTTGTTCTCAATGATTTTAAACTGTCTTCAATGCGAGGATCTGACCTAACAATATTGTAATAATGATTTACCAACAGTATCTTTTCTATCTTGAAACCATGAAATTAACGTCTAGACTTCTCTTCTAGCCGCTATAATTTCTTTACAATGGACAACTGTTTCTACTACAAAGTCCAATCCGCAGTCATCATCCAACTTATTAAGGAATGCTCTTTGTTACTGGTGTTAACCATCATGCACGACGCCCTGTATCAGTAGCAGTCTATTATTTCTATTGTATTGCGGTAGATTAAATTATTATTAGCTAATAACGTTTTTGTCTTCTATTCTGGTGATTATTTATAAATTTTAAATTAAGACAGTCATTGTCCTATTTCAGCAATAAATGAATTAGCAAGATCACAGCGGTTTATCTTTACCCGTAAAACTTAGATATGGTAAACAACGAATGACGGCGATTTCAGCCCATTCTATCGTGCAATAAACACCAATGAAATGATATCACGCTGTTATTCATTTTAATTATAGGGCAATTGACAACTGCCGTATTTGATATTTTAGTTTACTGATCAGACTAATTGGGCAATTAAAGTAAACAGCATGAAACGCTTACAGCATGCAAATTAAAATCTCGTTATCCGGTATAAATTATTGCCTGCAATCCTCTGTATATACTCGTACAGTACTTGAGTAATAACGTAGGTTCTGCTATTTTGATAACTACTTGATTGAATAATCTACCTTTCCGACGCTGCCGAAGTCGAATGAACATAGAGAACAGTGTGGTAGCTACTAATTTGAGTATAAGATGATAATAAGAAAATCAAAGTATAGAACGTTCTATCGCTGAAAATAGATGATTTTGCATTCTATAGGCAACAAAACGTAATTAAGATTGCTTGCCATGATCGCTTGATAGTGTCTGGACAATAAATTTACTAAAAATTGTTACATAAGTATTAGCATCAACCCTAAAATTAATAAACTGCTGCCAACATATTCGAGAACAGTTTTAACTAGTAGCTAATTTGTTATAATGGTACTCATCCTATATTATACAATACAACGCTATTAAAAGTATCTATTAATATTCATCAGATTCATTCTGATTCAGTCAACTGTTGAAATAGATGAACAATTGGATGCTTTTCTATCATAAAATGATACTATTAATATTCAGTGGATAGATTGAATCGAAATTAACATATTAGAGCAAGGTTAAAGAACAGACAATTTATTGCTCTAGAATAAGGCTAAGCTTAAGCCAATAAAACGCATATATAAATATATAATTTAAATGAGAATAGAAAAAACGTTGCCATTGCAACCAAGTACAATAGGTGAATAATGATTTCATATAGTAACTTGTTGCTCTCACAGATTTCGAGTTGTTATTGTGGACACCAAGGACCGTTGTGAATGTAATAGAATTAATTAACAAGATGAAAAATATCATCGCAGTTGGAAACCTTACATGGAAAATGATTTTAAAACCATTCAATTATCAATAGCATCTGTATCCACCAGAAAACTTATTGGTATTATCATAAAGTATCTTTTCAAGAATCTTAACTTTTAATACTGGCAAATTTGAGAAAGAATATACACATGAGGGTTCTTGATGGATGTTGCAATTGAGTGATCCATTTCGAAGCTATCATAAGTGTTGTACAAGGTTTGCACTTTTTATTGCTAACTAAGGAGATTGATAGATAATTTGGATAGTTCATTGGGTATCAATGTCGCTTAGGACTTCGTAAGAAAGGTCTAATTTTATTCATTAGACAAGAAGATTAATCCTACAATATGAATAGTACAAAAAATTCTCAAAATACATTGTCAAAACTACTAACAGATATTAAAACTTCGAGACAACGGCCTAGAACAGCAGGATCGTGCTTTCAATCCACTTTTACAAATTTTAATTCTGAAAACAGCATCTACTCGGTCGATCAAGATTATGATCAAGATGAAGAGGATCAAGTAATACAATTACAAGAAGTCGATGAAAGTTATGCCGGCTATAGAAATCATCCACTTAGAAAAAGTCAATCCTTTGGTGATCAAAAGAAAGAATTACAATTACATTTCGATCGAAAACGAGGTAGACGTGTTATGACCATCGATGTTAATGATGCTGGTCTACCTGTATCCACATTTCACAATAAAAGAACCAGCGTTGGTTCAAGCTCGAGCACTACACCAATTGATCGAAGGCCTTCTCCTGCAGCAGTATTAATGACTCCATTGCCTAAATTTGATGAAACAACTCAGAAACGTTTTAATTTTGGAGATCGTGCTAATAATAGTACCGATTCGCTATCTATGACAAAACGTGGAAGAGTATCATTGACCGAATCATCTAGAAAGGATCAAAATAAATCAAATAGACGAATATCACACACTACAGCCGGAGAAGACAAGAAGAATTCCTCGAGAAGAAAAATTTCTTCCTATACAAATGGAACGAATATTAGTGATAGGTATTTACGTAGCTTAGCTACTTGGGCTGATAAAGTGGAAGCTGCAGACAAGAAAGAGGATCCTAACGGTTGCAAAAATGCCGATGAAATTGAAACACGCTTAAACCCGGTACGGCTTATTTAGAGGACAAAAGGCATATTCTTTGTAGGCCAATCCTTTTCACAAATAGCACAACTAGAACGTAAATTGCGCAGCTACGCGAATATTCTTAGAGTAATTCTATTTCAACACTTTCCACTTCCTTCAACCGCTAAAATTTAACATTGATACCTTTACAATATTAAAAATTTGAATACATTTTACTACCGCCTGATTTGCTATAAAAGATGTAAATATTATATTTACAAAACTACATTTATGATTAGTAATTTAAAATTTAACTGAATCACACATTTGCTTCTTACTGTCTAGGTACGCGTAAAATTTATCAAACTATGTCGTATCGTGAGATTGTTCATTCGTGTCTGTACAGGCATGAAAGAATATGCATTTAAGAATAATAGTTCATCGTTTATTGACCTTAACTATTATACTGTGGACAATGGTAATAGAAGATCAAAATCATTAGCCTTTAGTAAAAAAGAATATGCTCGGTCTCGAACTGTAAGTAGATAGCTCCATCTTAGTATTTGCCGATGAAGAATAAATAGTTACGATATACCACTTTATGCTAGGATAATCTGCTCTACTGTATCTTATTCTACTTTTGAAATATTATAGATGCATATGCCTCAATGGGCAAGAAGTGTATTGTGGTCAGCACCCGAATCACGTTCACATACAGATCTATTAAATTTAAGAAATTTATTTCGAGGTCTTGGCTGTTTCGATCGATTTCCTAATCATGTGCAAATGGAATTGGTACGCCACTTTGAATTTTGCAGGTAATAACTTGACATAATAGTAGCGCAAAGTAGATATAATTCCTTCAAAGGTGTGTGATTCGGCGATTGTGGTAATGACCTATGGAATATTCTCATTATTGCAGATATGAAGAAGGGCGAGTCGTTCTGAGACAAGGCCACGAGGGATTCTGCTTTTATATGATATTTCATGGCTCCTTATCAGTATCCATTGAAGAACCAGATTCGAAAGGAAAAACTTATAGTAGAATGGAGAATATTCTCACCTCTGGTGTTTCTTTTGGGGTAAGTTGGTGATACAATCACTAGTAACCAATTTATAATAGTACGATCCTTGTCTATAAGGAATGAAATAATTAATAAATTATATTACTACTGGTCTGTTAAAGGAACTTGCATTGATATCGAAAACCAAACGACGAACCGCTACTGTAAAAGCAAGAGAAAACGTAGAACTACTCTCCATCGACGATAGAATCTTTCAAAAGTATTGCGCTGATGAATTTTTACGCGAACATGAGGCTAAGATCGAAAAGACAAGGTATACTATGGGTAGTATCATGCATACTTTATTACTTCAAGAAACACTAACCCCAGTTTTATAATTTCTTGCAGGTTGTTTAAGATATTTAATGATTGGTCTGATGAATTATTAAGCGAAATATGCTTTGAAGCACAATTGCGCGAGGTATTCCTTTACTAGATTAGTAGTCGAAAACTGCTATTGAAGTAGCATTGGTTATCATTGTAATTAATTATCCTTTACACCATTCTAATCACTGTGTTCTTGCTAATGAGAGCTTTAATTTAATGATTGTGAATTTAATTTGTTGATTATAAAATGATATCCTTAAATTTTTTAGTACAAACATGGAAAAATCATTGATTGCAATACGACATCATCGTTATCAATTAACTTTCTTATGGAGGTTTGTTACATAAAATAAATTAAATTAATTATTTTACGTTTAATTTATAATAAATAGAATCATTAAATAGTTATAAAAATAGCCAGCCTATTAATTATTGTGAATATCATTTTAATATGTTGGTGATTGATTTATTTGCGATATTGTCATTTTAATGAATGGTAGGGGAAATGTGATTGCCTAAGAGAAGTTGATTTAAATAAAGTTCCCAAAGAAGTTAAAAAACCTTGTATCCAGCCAGGGCAGCGTCTCAACACCCCACTTTCGGCATCAGTGAAAACAGGAACAAAATCTCACTTGAACTCTAAAGTCTTACTTTATGTTGGGAGTTTAAAACGTGGCGATGCATGTGTAAGTTAAATTCTTGTACATATCATTTTCCGACTATGCATTGCAAAACACTAAATGTCTATCATGAAAAGTAATCTGTTATTTAAAAATGTAGAAAAAATTTTCAATATGTAATATGTTGATTGTCAATTGCATTTTAACATTGATAATATGATTTTTGTTGTTCTATCGCTTACCAATTAAGGAATGATTTATTTATGCAATTAAGAAGCTATAAATGACTAATTTAATTTTATCTAATATTATTCAAAGGATTTATTGACGTTATCTGACGAAAATGCCCCTGGATTTACATTAGTCAGTGCCGGTGCAAAAATATTACGAATATCAAAGAAAAGGCTAAAACTTATGGCACCTTCAGGGTGGTTGAATATCATTAAATTGGAATCCAAGAATCCTATCATGTAAGAAATTATTAAGACCAAACTTTATTATGTAGTGATATAAATGCAATCAACGTTAAGGCAATATTAGCTATTAGACATAATGATGCAGCGCTTGTTAATTTAAACTTAGCAATAGTTGGATCAATAATTAGTTGTAGCTCCAATTTGATCTCCTATTTGATCATATTTATCGGTAGGTTGACTAGCAATGAAGAACTATGTCGACGCTACACTGAATTTGAAAACTGGCAAGGATTTAAATCGATGACTCTCAATGAAACATTGCTTAAAATCAAAGGTCATGATTTAGCACAAATGCCAGCGACAAAGAAAGGATCATCTGGGTGGGCGAAATGGCCTGGCCAAGCCGATAGTATCAATAGGCAGAGGGAAACATCAGATCGATTATCGACACCAGCTCCTGGACCTTCCTCTCTCTTTTTAAGCTTTACTTCTTCCAATTCTACAAAAATACATCACACCACAACTAAGGAACAACCTTTGGACGATGCTATTCCCAGGGAGAGTAGTTCTACTTTACAACGGTTTAGACAACGAGTTCAAGATTTGCGCCAGGGGCTAGCAACACCAACTAGTGATAGTGGAGTCAATAGTAACGAAAATAATGGTAATGATTTAGAACCTATTCGTCGATCTCGAACGTCATCGAATAGTTTAATTAACGACAAAATTAGGCAAAAATTTCTACGCCCGCAAATTATCGTTGGTGATGAAGATAGTGCTAGCATAAGTAGCTATAATGCTGATGATAATGGCATCCGACCTTATTTAAGAAGGCGCCAACGAGGCATGAGATCAGATAACGTAGCGTATGGGTATGATGATGCGGAAGACGATGTAATAGCTGATGATATCACTAAAACAAATGTTAGATTGTCAAAAATTCAGGGTAGTTTAGGATCTATTTACCAAAATCGAAATACAAGTAGCGCTTCTAAAGCCTTATATGACAAAATTTCCAGCGAAGTATATAGTATTTAATTGGTTGGAAATGCTTATTAACTTTCTTCATCCTAATTAACCTATTTTCCCCTTGTGTACTATATTAGAAATTAAAATCATGTTGGCCAAGATTTGTTAATATTACATTGTACCTCTTATAATACATAATTCATTAGACTTGCTTCTATTGATCTTGTCAGCTTTGTATTATACGATATTAACCTTGATTTTAAATCCAGTGATTTTCATGAATATCAGGCTGTATACTGTACAGTATATATACATGTTATAATTATTTATCATTGGTTTCAATCCTGCTCGAATTTTAATCAATTCACTCTTGGAAGGCAGAAAAAGGAAACTATATTTTACAGCTATAAATTATTTATACATGCATAGAGATAGCTGTTTTATATTAATGATTGGTCTAAGGCATACGCTTGCCCTATCTTACCTCTTTCGTCGCCGATGATAGAGGAATGTGCATCTATAATATATAATTAATGCACTTTGTATATTTATACGAGTATTATAGATTGTAACATAACCAAGTACTCGGTACTGAGTATATTGATATAATATAGGGTTATCTCAATTTTACATTTTAGTGATTCAACAAATCTCATACAATTTGAGACTAATTTGTAGATTGTCTGAAATCTATTCAAAAAGTTTGAATGGATAACCTTCTAAAATAAATGATGTAACTAAAAGGTGAATACTGGATCAATCGTCTTTGCTTTTCTTCAATAACGTTAGTAGTAATATAATTTATTATATATATATAGATATATATTAATTACTCGAGCATTTCTTAAATGTAATTCGTATTTGAAAACAAATTGAGCACAATTCAGTATACTGTTTCAAGTATTTCCAGTCGAATGCTAGTCAAAACGGTAATTTGTATGCCTATGCGATCTAGTTAATAATTCATTGCTATAGAAATGAAGATGAAATCCTCTTAACGCAAATGGCCATCGATAAATCCACATACACTTTTAGCACGATGGTACTGATTGTCTACAACACGCTTAGATGATTTATTTGTGAAATAGGCGTTCAAAATAACCATTATTGCAGTACTGATTCGAATAGATTGGAACCGATACTTCTCGGTAGCTGAATTGGATCACCTCATGTCTGGCATAGTGAGTTTATATTTGCTATTATTATGCCACCACCATGACGATTTATGCAGTTACTAAGGAAAGCCCAATAAGTAATTTAGAAAGTCCTATTGATTCAGTCGTTAAAATTTTTATTTGCCAGTCTTTAGGACAGCAGAGTAGCTGACGGTTCAAAATTGAAGTTAAATTTTAAATTTTATAGTGGCATATCGTTAATTTTCCCTAGATTTATTTTATATGCTTAGCGATTTAAGGAGAAAAATCCCAAGTATCACATCATGTTTCCATATTAAGATATTTGCCAATGATTTCTATTGATAGCTTCCAAAATTGTTCCTAGCAATGTACTGTACTTGCCGTAATAATTAATGAACTAAAAAGCAGTAAGCTACAGTATAAATTAATCGACAGTAAATTACTCACTGAAACATTATTGTTCTGTAAAGCCTTTTAGCCAAGTGATCTAAACTAACAGCAAAAAAATCTTGTAGCAGTGATCAATATACCGCATATTGGCACGGCAAACTTTATTTTGATGCTGTACACTAAGTGTACATTAGCCAGTAATAGGATTTCCCGCGCTATATGCGTTTTATTATCATTAGTCGATGAATTGGCATACGGCAACGTTTAATCCTATCGAATGTTTGTCATCATTTTTTAAGAATTCATAAAAGCCGGTTGTGAAATCGACCCCACAAATCATGATAGCAACAAGAATTTGATCTGATTTTAATTTACCTCCAGTATGGTAATGATAGATTAAAAATTAATTTATTCCATTTCTTATTATTTTCATAAAGCAATATTGACTTATCGGGTATTTTTGTAGATTTGTCCCAGATTCTTATTGATCTGACCGCATGGAGCATGTGGGTCATTAAACACTGCATGTTGCAGTTTAAAGTTTACATTTTTTATTTGTAAAAAACTTTTAGTAGTAGTTGGTAAACGAGCTTAGACACATGTGTTGCTTGCTATCGCACAGTTGTCGCTGATAATCAATGATCATCATCGGCCAGAATTAGCCCTATCCTTCCATTTTTGTCCTATCGATATCAGCTCCGATCCAGATTTTCCGATATAGAAGCTTTGCCTTCTAGTACTTTTCTGCGAGCTACTCTCAGTTCCAGACTATGAGTATACAGTACGTATGAAGTTACTAACCTTTAAAATTAATTAATATCATTACTTTTATATTTTAAGCATGCAATTTTATCCTGTATCTCTTTTAGTCTTATTTACAGTGACAGATCCATCCCATATTTAAGTTACCGTCAGAGAATGCAGTAGAAATAGCAAGATTTCCCCTGAGTAGTTACCAATAAAATCCCGACTTTGAAGGCCAATTCAAATTGTACAACTCTGTAAGCTGGAGATGTTTAACAAATTTACTGACAGCGCCCTTGCAGCAGCAACATTTTAATATTTGCAGTTGCATTGAATCAATCTTTGCTGCAGTAATTTACCATTAGGGCCAAAGTTGGAGACCATATGCCGGCTTGATTCAGTACCTCTAATCTGTAAAAACTTTTCTCTGATAAAAAAATTCGCATACTGTAACTCAAATAGGGTGTTTTTAATTCAGCTTTTGTACACATACAGTACAGCACGCCCACATTCCCTGTTCAAGTAATTTACAGTACGTCCTTGACGACCAAAGCTGCTTCGATTTTACCATGACCTGAAGTAGGGTTTATGGGATAATTTTTTGCTTTTGAAGAAATGTGGGGTCATTTTATTTTATTTTATACGAATACTTCGATCACGAATTTGACTGTACGTAGCTAACTTTTTACCAGTGTCACAGCTCCACAGCTTCGGCAAAAGATATTATAGCATTCTTATGATTTGGCATTTTAATTTAATTAAATTAAGGCCAACATTCTTATCTTTTTACCTTGATCAAGCTCTCGTAGACAGCTCATCCAGACTCTCCTCCATTTATTCAGCACATTGAAATAGCGAATAGAGAACTAGAGTGCAATTTCTTGTCTGGTGGCTGTCTAGCCGCTGTGGCGTCTAGCGTCTGCTTCGCTGAATCATATCAACAAGTTGAATGCTAGCGATAGCGCGCTATCTCTTCAATCTTATATGAAAATAAAAGGCAAAATGTACTTAGTCAAAGAAATAAGTTATTAGTTTACTAGTCTGCTGGATAGGGAAATTTTTCATTTTCTTCTCTGCATTACCGTGTAACAGGAAATATAAAGGAATGCTGTAATTGCTTAGCAGGGCATTACGGTAGTAAAATGTTATTCCTAGGACGTCAATATACTCTACTTCATTAATACTGTGCTGTAAACTATATTATGTATAGTATTTAATTGAAAAATACTCGCAGCAAACCAAGGTGTTCTTACAGTAGGAGGTAAAGGTAAATCGGTAATTTCTTGTTATCACTCGTTTCATTATGTCCAGCATACAGTACAATATTGTGCATACCTTATGAAATACTGTAGTATGGAAATGCTCCGAAATGAGTGTATTGTTCTTTAATTTGATTTTATTCGATGTAGACTGAAGTAAGCCTATTTTATGATGCATTATGTTGTAATTAATTATAATTTATTTATTATGGCTAATAGTGAATGTTTTTAAGTTAGAGGTTTTACGATCACTTTCCCACTACACAGCTGTGCTTGGTGAATTGTCAAACATGTGTAATTACAAGTAAATACTCTTCTCGTAGACTTGTTGCGTAGTCAACTTAAAACGATAGATTATATTATCCATAGACGACTGCAGGAGCCAGATGTACTGTACGTTAAGGCATGTTCAGTAGAGCTGTCCAGAATACACCTAGTTAATTAAATAAGTTCCATTTGGACAATTCCATATCGAAATAATTCTAGACAGTGGACAGCTCTAAATTGTTAAGCTTATACAATAGAATTTATCCATAATTATAATTACTAATCGTCTTTGACTTGCAGAGGGTAGCGAATATTCAGAGTTGCTGTTTACTGAGTATAAATAACATTAATCTGTTAGTACAGGAGCCTTACAGTCTTTAGATTGTATTGCTAATGAAATTTATCGCCTTTTATTGACTTTTCTGTGTTATAAGTAAAAAGCTATGAATCTGTACAATCGTTTTAAATGCACGTTTGACACTTTATTCCCACTCCTCTCCATGTCAACATTCAAGAGTAGCATCAGTTTGGTAGTGCAGAAAGCTTATATATTGTATATTCAAATTAAAGATTTAATTTAATTTATCGATATGTACAGTTGCTTCCTCTGTGCAGCATGGCAAAGTATAACTTATGACACGTGTTTGGACCGCAAAATGCTATACTTCATTCATCACGTAATTAAAAAGTGTTAAAATCATATCGTGTAGACTGATAGGAAAGTTGGATGTTTTTCGTAGCTGAACATATTTGTACCTAAACTTGAAGCTTTTGCGCCAGATGGCTAAAACTCACCAGCAAGACTCTGACACTCTCGATTTCCCTATAGCAGTTCAACTATCAGGTAACTGAATCACTGGTCATTAAGAAAGTATTTGTGCGAAATATCAATATTTTTTAACAACCTACAATTAATATGATGTAGTTATACGGATATAATCTGAGAGAATTTATTCATAGCTACTTGATCAAAGATCTGCATTATCAAGCATTATAGGAGTCATTGTATCCTGTTTTCAAGATGTAAAAGTGTTATCCAGCACAATGCTATACTGTATTTAGTTTCCTTGTATGCAAATAATATGTAGATCTACCGGACTGCAGTAATATGCAGATAGATATGACCACGGACTTGCACAGATCCGAATCGTTGAAGAAATTGGAAAAGAAATCATTTGGAACAAGAGTTCGAGTGAATTGTGTTACAATTGCTTTATTTCGCTTTGGTACGACTGTATACGCTATAGAAGATGCATGTCCTCATCTAGGTACA